GGAGGGAAAGCGGGTGTCACTGGACTTCGAAGTGGCGGATTCATGTTGCTTGTGTTGCTTAACTGTTCGGGAGCGGGGATCCAGGGGGGAAGGGGGGGAGGCAAAACTGTCAGAAAGCGCCGGAATCTGTGGGGGGGGGGGGGGGGGNNGGTGGGGCGGGCTGTCGAAATTGTGGCCCAAAAGGCTTGTGAGGCCTCGGCGGATTTAATGTGTTGCCTGCGACAAGATCCATTACCGGCATACCTTCGCCAAGCCAAAGCTTCCTGGTGCAGATGTCAGCGTTCATGGTGTTGTTCTGATTTTGAGGGTCGGTTTGGCCGAAGCTCGGGACATAATCCTGGCTTTATAGGGCATGTTCAGGGAATATTTACAAAAGCCCTTGCGTGTCAGCATCAGTTTTTGTATTAGACGGATCCGCAGTCAGCTTGCGGATTTAGGGTCGCAAGAAAACCCCCTGATGCACAACACAAGGCTAAATGCATATGCTGTTTGCAAGTTTCTTCCAGATTCCACAGCGGATCGGTAGGTGCTTGCTGAGTCTTGGCCCTTCCCTGTTTGTGAACAAACGGACCAAATGTGCCCCCAAACGATTCTACAAAGCCTATACCACTTCTGCTACCCAACAACCCGTAGGCTTTGGATTGGAAGCCGTCGAGAACAAAGTCGGAATCCGATACTGAGTACGTAAACCCTCAACGAGATGCTAAGGAGCTGTCTGATGCCTCAACTGGCCGGCTAGTAGCTGTACCCCCTGGTGCACGCCAGGTCGCAGACGGAAGCAGTTGGGATGCGGGGCTTAGAGTTAAGGGTTGAACCATAAGATAACTAGGATTCTGGGGTCGAGGGTTTCGGTTAAGGCATTCGGTTCAGAGTTGAAACAGGTTTAAGATGAAGCATCACTGAACTCCGCCTTCTGGCTCCGAAAGGTTGTCGATGACCCTGATCGTGACTTCTTGAACAGTAGCAAAGACAAAAGGATCGATCAATACCAAGACTTACAATGCTAACAATATTTTGCGGTGTTGCCGGAAATGGCGATTGAATGTTGGGATGGATAGAGACAGTCCATCGGGATAGATAATCGGCGACAAGAGCAACAAGATGCCGGGAGGTCCGAGTTGTCTGTAGTTCTACACAGCTACAGGAATTGTCGAGACAGATTGTTGATTATTGTAAACAGGGCCTCCAGGTTGCAACCTGTTGCGCACGCACCTTGGTATAGCTCGCCTAGGACAGGTTACCCTCACAATCACGAACAAATAACTCTCCTTGTCATCGGGTCTCTCCAGAACCTCTGCAGCCTGAAAGCCCGAGTGCGCCACGAACACAGCCTGCTCCCGCTGCACAGGCGCTTGTGACAGCCATCGCCCTGCATCCTGGCTCAATACATCGTTTTCTCCTGTAGTTTCGGGTTTTGCTCCGGTGAGCAAGGATCACGACGCTTTTAGCGGGGACGGCTAGAAGCATGCACCTCAGGGACTGCAACATGGAGGGTTGAGGCCCGCAATCGCTTTGCATGGAAATCGACACCTGCGGTGGGCTTGACCCAATAAACTGAAGGAGGCAGCCAGTGTAGCGCATGTCGGAAGTCGGTTCTATCGTGCATGATCAACCAGTCCTAGACCCTAGACTGCCTCGTCAGCTGGGCCTTCATTCTTGAATGGGCTTTCTGACTAAAGCTCGCAGGCACGCTCGCGGCCGTGAGCTGCTGGCCGAAGAGGCACCATTGGGGTCTAGTGCGACGCGAATTCCCCAACCGGTGGTCAGGATCCAACCGCCACCGTTGCTCAGTCCGTGGGTGAGGTCGCTGGCAGTGAACTATTCGGTTCGATTTTGCCTGCTACTCTGTTTGTTGCGGTGGGGATTCCACTGTCTTAAAGAATGTCAAACTCAAACAGTGCTGCAAAATGCACACGCAAAGGAATTTCCATCAGACTGACAGGAATGGGCATCGGGCACCTGTATCGCATCCCTTCTCAAAAAAAAACTTACAACATCTGATGAGAAATTCAAGCCCGAGAGGGAGGGAATCCGAAACGCAAATGCTGAACCTGAACTCTACTTACCCTGCAATGGGCTCGCCCTAGCTAGGTGGGAGGCAGAAAAAGGCTGAACTCTACACACTAAACCCTACACTCCAAAAGCCTAAGCATCCCTGAGTCTCTAATGAAGCCCTAAACATCCCTCAGCCATACACCCCTAAACCCCAAACCCTAAACACCTGCCTGGTGCGAGTGTGTGAGTCGAAACCTTAAACACCAAGCGGTGCAAGAGGATGCCGGAGCCGTGAAGGCTGTGGAGTTTCTCGTGGTGCCTCGGCAGAACAAGCTTTCAACTAGCGCAGCGTTAGGTGTATTAGGATTTCGGAGTTTAGGGTATAGGAGTTTCGGGTTTAGCACACAGCTTGACTCCTCAGCAAAGCTGCTTCGGTAACGGTGTTCGCATGTCGGCCTTAGTCAAGAGATTACATGTCGAGGTTTGGCCAGACTTGAGCCCAGTAGCAAAACATGTCGGGTTAAGGGTTGAAAGACAATTTAGGGTTTAGGGCTTAGGGCTTAGGGGTTTAGGGTTTAGGGTTTAAGGTGGTTCGTGGCAGTTTCGCAGCCAACAGATACAGATCGGCGAAGCTTGCCTGACCGATGTGTACTGACCGTGCCTGGCTAGCCAGCACCTGGCTGCCAAGATCCCACGGCCCTCTAGCTGTGCTCAATGTCGAAACTGTTTAAGTTATCGTCGTCATACTTCTGAGAACATGTACATGCATAATTCTGATCATACCAAGGACCAGAGCCTGATCGTGGGACCATCGACCGAAGAAGTTAGGAAACAAGCAAAAATATAAGTGTATTAGCATACCTCGAGTTCCTCGAGTCCTAGAGCCCATGGTGGGGTTATCTTAGCTTTGGCCCTACTTGTGGAAGAGGCTTACAGTCCCCCCTGCAGTAGCCCTTGCAGTGACCCTTAAGGAAGAACCCTTCTAGTACAGAAGCCCCTATAATAGCGCTGAAGGAAGCACCAGTCTTAAACAAGAGCCTTTATGGCAGAGCCCTTACAAAAAAACACAAACTACGAAGCTTTCCAGCCCAAAACGGGGTCGAGGAGGCGAGCAGCTGCTTCGATCGCTGCCGTGAGCAAGGTGCTGCTGAGATCATGGCAGCCTGCCAGGAAGTGTTTATACCCGTTTAGGGTTTAGGGTTATAAAGCTGGCTCCGCAGTGAAGCTGCTAGGGCTGCTTGCTCCAACTCTGGGCGAAGTGGAAAGCCTGTTGCAAAAAGGGTTTATAACCCCACCACAAATCCCCAGAACACTTACCTTTTCAAGGACGTGGTTCGGGTAAACTTTTAAACCACAAATTTCAATGTAATAGAAACTTTGGGTCATTGAGTTTTAAGTTTAGGGCTTGTAAGGTTTAGGGTTATGGTGCCCTGCAAGAAGTCCCTAAGTTTCTACATACTGTCTAGAGCCCATCATGGGGCTTTATCGGGGTACCATATAGTGCCTCCTGCGGGGGGCGGGGGGGGGGCGCCTCTTGGCCAAGAGAGCGAAACTGCGTGCTCACATTCATATCCGTGGTTCGAGGAAGCCCGTGAATAGCCAGCACCCTGTTCCTGCACTCTACATGTACTATACCAGGCTAAGGTTTGCAATCAAGGGTAATTTTATGATGTACCATATGTGTCATTTGTATGTCTGAACTCCTGTGCATGCAGGGCGACACACATTGTAAGGAGCGATTGCGCGTGGTATGAAGCTTTGTGGCGTTGTTCTATCTGGCTGCGGGCAGGACGACGCTGCATCACCTTGTTGACTTTACACCTATTCCTAAGAGTTCGGTGTCCATCAGCCTGCTAGCTTAACTGTTTAACTTCAGGGAGCCATGGAGAAATGTCAATTAAATTATACCCTTCCGCTAGATGCGGCAATCAGCTAGCAGCTAGCGATAGCATGCACGTGTGAGATTGGTGTGCTTGGCGTGGAGGGGCCGCTGCTTGCTGCTGCTGCTGCTGCTGCTGCTCCTGCGTCTACCCGGGCCACATGTCGCACCAGTCTGCTCAGCAATGCTCATGCGAGTATCCTTGTGCTGATTTCAGTGATGCATACGAGTTTTGATGCCATGTTGGCTTTCCTTCGATTCCAAGGACAAGCTGGCAAACTACGGGCAGCTCCAGCGACTTGCTTGCTGGAGCAAGGGGGCAAAGCGTTGGTTTCTCTATGTCCCATCCATTGCACATCTTGGCGGTAGGCTGGACATTTGCTGGGCATACGCGCTGCTGGGGGATGCCAGCTATCTTCCAGATGCTGAGGTGGGCTGGGCAGTTCTTGGGGACTGTTTGTTCTCTCGGCCCCATGGCCCATGCTAGCAAGGTTTCGGGTCGGATGGTTTCGAGGTTACAATTACAAGGTTTGCCCTCGGTGTGTTGTGCTTGCGTCACTCGCCTGATGGGCAGTGCTCAGGGCTCACTTTCAAGCTCGACTGCCTGGTGACGCATTCTCTGCACACAGAAATGACACGAATCCCGAAACCCTAATCGAAACATCTGGAACACTCTAGACTTATACCGATATCCTAAACCCTCAAACCTGCAAGCCCTCACCCTGCTAACCCTGACTGAACTATAAGGCCATAAGCCTTAAGGCTCCTACAACCCCTATCAGCCCCCAACAGCCTTACACCCTATAAGCCTTATAACATGTTGTAGCTGATGCCCTAAATTCTAAACCCTTGAGCCTATAAGCCCTGAACCCTTACATGAACCTTAAAGCCTATAAGCCGCAAAGCCTCACATAAACCTTAAACCTTCTAAGCCCCAAGAATAAGCCTTTAACCCTGTAAGCCCTAAGCCCTTTGATAAACCTTGAACCCTATATAGGGCTCTATGATCCGGTTCCCTTTAAGGCTACTATAGGGTTCTATAACAGTGGCCATTCAGCTCCAAGCCCAAAGAGACCTGAAGCTACGAGAGCGAAGGCCCGACTCCAGGTTGCAGAGCGCATGATCCGACGACAGGCCTAGAGTTCAGGGATTAGGGGTTATAGAGTTAGAGGGCTTATAGGGTTTAGAGACTATAGGGTTTAGGGATTATAGGGATTATAGAGTTATGGGGCTTATAGGGTTTAGAGACTGGGGTTTAGGGTTTAGGTTTAGGGTAGGATTTAGGCACCACTTTAGGAATCCTTGTTATGGTTTGCTTATATGCCTCCTAGAGACGCAGTGGTATAACGCAGTTCAACAAACCAAGATGCCGGATCAAGACGAAAAGCCGGTTGGCGAGAGCCACTACAAGAAGCGAACTTTATGTCATATGTGGCGCTGTTGAGAGTTTGACAACAACAACCGGACCGAAGGAAGAAGGGTATGTTTCATTTGTTGAACACCATGACCAACGAAGCCACACCATACCTACACATGGGCGAAGGCTGTTTGAACAAGTGGCGCGCAACAAGAGACAAGACAAACCATGCAATAATGTGACGACGATGCAAGAAATCGAATAAACAGCAACAAACAACTACAACAACCACAACAACAACAGCAACAACAAAGAAAACACAACTCATGATACTTATGTAACGGGACTGCGGCTTCCACAAGCGTTGTGGTGTTAGTCCTTTACGACGAGAGCATTCACATGTCGTTCGCGAAGTTGCTTTATTGCGGCATGCCGTTATTCCGATCACCCTGCAACTTTAATCACAAAGACCCAACTGAAACGAAGGGTAATATGGATCTACAGTATCCTCAGCAGCGGCTGTGCTAAGTAGTTGTGCAGCTTTTGATGATTCATTGAGCTCGTTCTTATTTCATGTGCTGGTTCAGGTTGGCAACCTTCTAGGAACTTTTGCTAAACTTCTCGAACACATCAGGCAAAAATACACCTGTTTGGAGATATACGTCGTCATACTGTCCCAGATTCCGAATGTTGAAGTGCTTCCCAAACTTCCGAGCACTTTCGTAATTCACTGCTTTCGAACCCTTCCTCACCAGGCTGAAGTGACTAGAAGCTGACGCCGCCTTTAAACTCAACTTGGTTTGCTGTGAGTGTAATAAGTTTTTCGCTGTTCTGCGCTACCATGCTGACCTTGTCCTTCTTCACACTTGGTCGCTCCGCATGTGCTGTGAATAGGAGGTAGGCGTCGTAGTTTTTAAGGTTTTGAGAAACACCGGAATCTGGAAATGCTTAAAACAGAAGTCACTCCCAGTTACACGTTTCGGGTGCCGCCCCTCTGTATATGCCTTTGAAGTTGCAGTGGTCGGCGAAATTACGGTCCCCAGCCCCTCTCATGTCCCAACATCGTTCCGTTGAGTTGTGTTTAATGCGGCCCTGGAAGGTTGACAAGAACTTCTTGGCCTTGGCAGAGGCAGCCGGACCTCGCTCATGGCCATGATTTGCAACCAGGGAAAGCCGGGTCGAAGATGCGATGATCTGCAGTGTGACCATCGGAACTGAATGGGCTGCATCGAACGGTTGGGCGTCATTAAGATTCAGTTCTTTCTCTAAATTTAGTGACGGCCTAGTGCTTCCGCAGATTTGACGAAAGAGAGTCATGACAGGTTTTCCCCTGGAGCCGCATGCGAGAGTCAATATGCTCTGTGGCATTCGCAACGACATGTTTGTCTACCGAAAAGATGGGTTGTAGATTGTAGACACCTGGCACTATGTATAGTCAGGTCTTGAACTCCACACCCGTATGGTTGCTGCCAGGTGAAAGCAGAACAAGGAGCCACCTTACCACCAGAACCTTGGGCAGTCAATGGTCGGCTTTTGCGACCCAAAGATTAGGCCAGGCTTCCACTTCCAGGCTAAGTGTTGTTGCCGGTCGTGTTCAGGGTGTGCATTCCACAAGTTGAGTACGTAGACAGTACATTGTGATTCTAGAAAACGTATGCTCAACTGAGCGATTGTCGGATGTGGCACTCAGAAGCATGTGTGCAACGGATAGGGTCTCCAGCGCTCGCGAGTCCTCAGCGCTGACATACACACGACCGTTTGATGGTTCAGCTGATAGCATGAGTCTTATCTTGTATTCTATTATGTTACATGAACTCCTTGAGGAAGTGCTTCCTTCGGTTCGGCTTTGGCTGCTCCGTGGTGTAGCAAAAGCTGGGCGGGGCTCGGTCGCCGCGGCGCGCGAGGCTTGTGAGTTTTGGCACTTCGGGCAGTTTAGGGTTTCGGGGGTTTATAAGGGGATTTAGGATTGAGGAGGTTTGGGGTTTCGGGTTTGGGGCTGGTTTTCCAGTCAAGCTAAACAGTGACCCGATCCTGCATTCTAGGATAGGGTATTGGTTGTATAGTAGGTGTGCGAGAACATTGGCGCATGACCGAAGGTATCATTCGCGATCATATCCTTGGTAGGAAAAGCATTGACCTTTGGATACGACACAGCATAGCTCGCAAGGAGACCCAAGTCCTCTTTCTAAACTTTTCAGTTTCGCATCTACCTTAAACTACCGTGATTAACCTAACTGTGTCTAGGTTTCTCAATTTACAGCCATTCATTTTCGAGTTTATAGAATTTAGAGGGACCCGACGCAGAAGTAGTTCGAGGTTTCAACAGTCTGGCAGGAGCCCGGGCATTGAGGACTGTAAGCGCGAGTCGTTACCTCTGATTCAAGCTTCAGAAAAGGTTGATGTTGCGGATTGGCTGCTCATTTATATGACTTCGAGCCTGGTTGCCCGGCAGTTTGTTGCGATTCACTACACCCCCAACTTCCCTAGAAGCCATAAACCCCAAGTCCAGAAACCCTAAACTTCCTAAACTCTGAAACCGCTAAAGTCCAAACCCTGAATCAGCCCAGGGTTCAGAAAGCAGTGGAAGCTCGAGAACTTGTCAGCAAAAGCCCGGACAGGATCTCCAGCGCGCCGCGCTTTTCATCCAGGCGAGCTCTGGGGCTTATAGGCTTACCCTTACCCTCAAAAGGACTCATATTTTAAGGCTTTTTGGGCCCAAAGACCCTATTTTTGGTATATGTTGATGCTAAGGGTTTAGGGTTGAAGGGTTTAGGGCTTGACGGTTTAAGGGGTTTAGTTTAGAGTTTATTGTCTGGGTGGCGCAATCACGAGTGCTGCAGTGCTTCACGGCGACGGCTAGTTCGGGCTGCAAAAGGGTTTATAATATCGTCCTAGGGGCTTAGTGTCAAGAATCGCGAGGATTTCGGGTTGAAGTATCAGGTTGAATCTCAGCATTTGCTTCTTCATTGTTCTCCCCGTGTAGGGTCCATGTGTTTCTCCGTAATCATTTCCAACTAAGATACCTACTCCGAATCTTCTCAAAGGTATGTAATATTTTCTTCGGGTCAAGTGCGTCTCTGGTCAATGGCCGGGTCAACCTTGATTCCAAGTAGCCAACACCATCATATGGCGAAAGAGGCTGTGCGAATCTAGTTGTGATCTCTTAGTTGTGCTGGCATGATGCACACCAGTAAACCGGAAGTGCAAGCACCACAGATAGCAATACGCAGTAATATCTACGCTAGTTATAATGATGTCACAACTGGTCCGATAGCCAGGGCAACAGTGGACATACGCAAGTCTCCACAGCGATTCAACTTAATCGGAATGTCACTGGCAAGGTTAACCCCTAAGCCTTCGCTACACCCTGAGCCCGACCCTAAACCAGCTAACGTGAACAAAACAATGAAAAGCATGCCAATCGCCGCAGACAAAATAAATGCGAGACTCGAAACATGCCTTCAAAACTCCCTTATCCTACAGCGGCTTATTCTGACACCCCACACTCAGTCATACTGCCGACAGGCCGACAGACAGCATCCTGTGCTACCTCAAAGTCAAGTACCTTAAACCATGCTAATTACTACGGTATAGCCTTTTCGTGGATATTGCAGGATACTGTCCACCTGGAGTAGTACTACAAGTAGCAGTAGCAGTAGCAGCAGCAGTGGCAGTTGCAGTTGGAGTAGCAGTAGCAGCAGTAGCAGCAGCAGCAGCAGCAGCAGCAGGAGGAGGAGGAGGAGGAGTAGTAGCAGTAGCAGTAGCAGCAGTAGCTGAAGCTGCCAGGCTTTGCAGGTGGACGAGACGGCCGTCGCTTCCCTTCTCAGCCTAGGCCATCTGGTTTAGGGCTTCTTAGAATTCAGGGTTTAACTGGGGGTGTTTAGGTGGTTTGGTTTTTCTGTTTCATGTTCACGGCTTACCAACGGTGTGGGGAGCAGCAAATGTCCCAACATGACCGGAAGAGTTCAACAAAACCTGGTTTGTCATTGGCGGTTGCTGATTCCCCTCGGCAAGCAGGCTTAAACGGGCCGTGCTTTTGCCTTTGCCTGGCCCTGAGGCAATGAAGTGCCTGTGGGCCCTGAAGTCAAGATTATAGTTACCTACACGCTTCCTCAGGGCTCCTTAATTAAATGAGTATATCTAGCCCTAGGCCAATTTTCGGAGTGCCAAATTACGCGACGAGGCGCAGAAGCCATGGCAGTGAGGTTTGAGCCATGCTGGATCAACAAGTGATACTAACAAAAACTTGCCCTCCCAAAAGCCAGAAGGTAAGTTCCCGTTTGGGTTCGGGTCTCCTTTTATTTCGAGTTGTCCGTCCTGCAGAAGTTAAGGGGCTGGCACTGGGGGTGAGACAGGCGCTACGCGCCTGCAAGCCGTGGCAGCTTTGCGACGCTGCGAAGGTCCTTCGAAGCCACAATGCTGTACCCGGAGAACCCAATAGCCCTTAATTAAGCAATATACCTTAAGCTTTTTACGCCTTAGTAGTATGATAAAAGGTATATTCCTTAATGCGTTCTCTGGGTAGGTCCTCGACCCTATTTGGCGTAGGGCCTCCGGTTCATGGTTGCGAAAATACCCAGGCCCTAGCCAGAAGGCTCTTCGGACTCGTTGCTGAGATGTTGGGCTGAAGGTCTTGATACGGGGTTCCTTTGCGGCCACTTTCAAGCCCTAATTGATAGCGTAAGTCTCCTCATTGCGGATCCGCCTTATACTTGGATTCCTGCATAGGTAGGCGCGATTCTGGGAGAGCTGGTGTGGTCCTTTGAGTCGATCGTTTCGGAGTGTGGGGCACCAGAAAGTTAGCAAGAGGGTTCGGAGGTTCTCACGCCTGAATCATGGGGATCCTACGAGGGGTAAGGGGGAGGTGGGAAGGGACTATACTGAAGTAGGCTTGATTAAGTTCTTTCCTTGCAAGTATTAAGGCCCCCCTACCCCGCTAAGGGCCCTTGTGGTATAGGCCATTAGGGCTTAATGCGTCGTCGAGGGGTAAGGTCCCAAGGATGCCCAAAGTCCATACTCTGCGCGAGGCTTGTGGGCTATGTAGGGCCTTTCGAGAGTCGCATGGAGAGGAACTAGCCCGGACAAGTGCTCGTATAAATCGAGCTCGAGCACCTCACATCAAAACCGATCAGAATCGTCGCGTGCACGAGGCAGGAAAGTTGCGACACGTCAAAACTGGAGGTCCTGGTTTTCGGTATCGAGTCGATCGGATTCTCATCTTCTGTGTGTTTCCACAAAGATCTGGACGCTTGTGCTGTGGTGATCTTGACCGATGGTCATCTTGATCGCAGAAGAGCAAATCGTTTTGGTTTGCAAGGTTCAGCAGATCGTGCTGCAGACGATATTCTGGCCAACGCATCGCAGCGCAAGGCACAGATGGGCAAGCTACAGATTGACATTGACCGTGCAGTGGCTGTCTTGGATCTGCGGCTGCTGCAGGTAGGAGACACGACAATGATGCTGATGATGATGAGGGGGAGGGTGATGATGTTGATGGTTGTGGCTGCCGGAAGTTCTTCAGGCAGCCAAACAGGAGCGTCGCGCGCAGAGGCCGGCCGAAGCTGCTACGAGATGGCGGAGCTTAGAATTTAACATCTCGATTCCCGGGTTTCTCAACCCAAAAACTTAAAATCTTATTTTCTCAGTTGGTGCATCTTGGTACTCAGGCCTTGCTGCTTAGGGCCGAACCGATTGGCTTTGGCAATTTGGGGGTTTAGGGTTTATGGGGTTTGGAGATCCAGCAGATTCCGACGAACTGCTGCTGGCAGTTGATGTGAAAGTATCTTCAGGCCCTGTATGCAGACTGCACCGTATCATAATCAACAGAAGCCGACATCCCTGAACTCTGATACCGCCACGACACGCACGAAACACTGGCATTTTCCCATGCGAAGATCTTCTTGCCGCCTCTTGCAGGCAATATGGCCTCACCAAAGCTGGGGCGTTTGTGGACCCCGATTCTGTGCGGCAGATTGCTGCTTGGATGATATGACTTAACAACTGAGATGTGGCTGCCGAGCTGAACGGGTGGGAAACGGCTGTGTGCATCATAATACTAGAGCCGTTACTAGAAGACGATACGAATATCTACGGCAATGCTACGATTGGTGTTTCGGCAGTTTCTGGGTCAGCATCGGCTAACATTGGATTCGGTCAGCTGTCTGATGCTTGACATAGAAAAAAGTAGGTTATTGACCCACATTGCTTGTGCTCATTCGTCAGAAGCTGTCTTGTATCTGCTGTGGCACAGTACAAGTGTCCATTACTGGAGAATGCTACACGGCTCAGCGTCTAAATTCCAGGCGTCCTCCCTGAATCCTGCCAGCACTATTAACGGTTTTTGCAAACTTGCCAGGGCAGCATAAGCGCTGTACCTTTGCGATGCAAAAACGGGCAGCTGGCTGCAGGTGATGTAAACTTGGAGCCATCTTTCCTGGCTTGGCGCTGCGAGCCGTCTGAGTCTTGATCCAAGGTGTCCATGGGCATCGATGAAGCAGCTGCCATCAATGCATTAAAGCAGTCGAACAACGACGAGCCTTGGCAGCCAAAAGACATCGGTACTAGCAAGCTCAAATGCGATTCGATCAGGCTTTGCTATGCCACACCCGCCAAACCCTGCGACCCAAATTGCACGTTGAGAATTCACGATAGTGATAGTGCGGTAGCGATGGAAATAGCTGGACGCTGTTCGCGGTACGTGGCCTTGGTCTTGCCCTTGTGCAGCCTCGAGGGAAGTGTCCATGACTCGAAGCTGACGATATGATAGAGTTGCAAGAGCAGCGTACGGTGTTTGTCGTGATAGTTAGCAGCCAGCAGTTCCATACAAAACTTGTTGCTACATTATAGCTGCCCCTCGACCCTAAGAATTCAGACCTGCCACAATTCCCTAGGATTCCAGTTGCTCAAAATAGTAGGTCACTAACCATACATTATATATATATACACACACATACATATGTAACCCGCAACCCATTGTTTCGGCATCTGGAGCCCTTGGGATAAGTAGATGGCCCTACAGCCGGTGACCCCCGGAGCCGACGTAGACTCATCAGAGCCTGCCGGATGTGGGCGGTGGGAACGCGAAGCTTGAAATAAGAGGACGCAGTCGACTGGCTACATCCGGTTTTCGGATAACAAGTTTAGCGTTTGTTTGTTATTTTTGTTACTCTTGTTGTTATTAATACCATTAGTATTAATATAACCTCGTCAGGTTTTACCGAAGTAACGTTCAGGCTCCTGGTTTGTTTGCTGAATTTTCCGCAGAGGTCCTGGGTGCTTTGGAGGAGATCCAGCGCAAGAAGGCTAGGCAGGAGGCTCTTTGACCGCATTAAGAAGAGGAATCTGTAGGATATCTATCTATCTGTCTGTCTCTCTATCTATCTGTCTAGCTATCTGTTTATCTATATTTCTATATATATATACACATTATACATGTGTATGCTCACCCCCGCCTCCCAAGATCTACGCCGGTCCGTTTTTGTCTTACCTTCCGTCTTTCAACAGCAGCGTCTCTATCTCATGACAATAACCA